AGAAAAGATTTGTTTGGGATTATAATTTCCAAAAGTTTCAATTTCTCATGAGAGGATGTAAATGACAGAAAATCTCAATTCACAGTGGTGAGAACGTGTGACTAAGGTTGTTTATATCATCACAGACCAAAAACTATGCAGTGGTACAGGAAGAATATATGGATAATATAATCTCAATAAGTACATACAGTGTCCCATTCCTTTCAGCTAGTTCCCATGTTAAAAAGTTTTTGTAGCCTTCTACAATAGTTTCCCCCAACTAGAGAATAAATATTCATAACCAGACTGTGAAAAATGTTTCAAATTTAATCCATATATAAGTTGGAAAAATATAGTTTGGTTGGTGTCTATGCAAGTCTATATTTGTATCTGTTGCTATATTGATAGCCATTTGGTAACTGCAGACATTTTTAAATGTGAGCTTTTTGTTTAAATTCTGTTCAGAGATATTCTTCATTTTATGATTCTAAGACTCAGACTTGTCAAACTTTTATCATTTATAAAAAGGAAACTGGCCCCTGCTCTACCACAGACCACGCCTTCTAGAAGACTGGGTAGCCTTACCATAGACCTTCTATGCTCTCTCTGTTACCACCAGCAGACCCAGTCCCTCAGACTTATCCCTAGACCTGCAACAAAACACCAGGGCAACCTCACTTCCACCCTGTCCATTGCTCCTGTGGATCTCACAGACCACCCACTCCTGGCCTACTAGAAATGAGCACCAGGAGCTATAATCACCCCCAAACCCAGATACCTAGACACCACCATAAGAAGACAATCAATAATAGTCAGGACAGTATGTCTTCACTAGAGCCCAGCTATCCTACCACAGCAGGCCCTGAATGTTTGAACATAGATGAAGCACATGAAAAGACCGTAAAACCACCTATATGAAAATGGTAGAAGTCCTTAAAGAGGAAATGAATAGATCCCTTAAAGAAATCCAGGAAAACACAAACAATTGGAGGTAATGAATGAATCCCTTAAAGAACGCCAAGAAAACACAAGAGTTAAAGGAAACAAATAAAATAATTTATGACCTGAAAAGGAAAATAGAAATAATAAAGAAAACACAAACTGAGGTAATTCTGGAAGTGAAATATTTAGGAATTTGAACAGAAACTACAGAGGCAAGCTTTGCCAACAGATTACATGAGATGGAAGAGAGCATGTCAGCCAATGAAGATACAATGGAAGAAACGAATATACCACCACCATCACTAACAACAACAAAATAATAGGAATCCAGAAACATTAGCCATTGATATCTCTCAACTTCAGTGGTCTCAATTCCCTAATAAAAAGATACAGACTAACAAATGCAAAATCAGGATCCACCCTTCTGCTGTATCCAAGAAACACACCTCAAAATCAATGATTGGGTATATAGGGTTGGAAAAAGATATACCAAGCAAATAGACCTAAGGAGGAAGCTGGCATACACACTTTAAAATCTAGTGAAATAAACTTCAAAACAAAACTAATCAGCAGAGAAGGGGAAGGATACTTCATACTCACAAGAGTAAATAATCACCAAGATGGCATTTTACTTTTTAACATCTATTCCCTAAACACAAGGGCAACCACACTTGTAAAAGAAATACTACTCGCCAGACAATAGTGGCACGTGCCTTTAATCCCAGCATTTGGCAGGCAGAGCCAGGCGGATCTCTGAGTTCGAGGCCAGCCTGGTGTACAGAGCAAGATCCAGGACAGGGACCAAAACTACACAGAGAAACCCTGTCTCAAAAAAAAAAAAAAAAGAAAGAAAGAAAAAAGAAAAAAGAAACACTACTACAGCAGCTTAAAACTCATATGGACCCTCACAATGATATTGGGAGACTTCAATATCCCACTCTTACCAATGTACTGATCATCCAGACAAAAACTAAACAGAGAAGTGGTAGTGATAACAGACTTTATAAAAAACAAATGGACCTAATGTATATTTACAGAACATTTTACCCAAACACAAAAGAACATACTTTCTTCTTAGCACTTCATGGAACTTTTTCTGATATTGAACACATACTTGAACACTATAAGCAAGTTTCAACAGCTACAAAGAAATCCGAAATACCTCACTGTCTCCTAGCATGCCACCAGAGATTAAAGCTGGATATCAAAAATGACGCAAGAGATAGCTTACAAACTCATGGAAACTGAACAACTTTCTATTGAATGAAAACTGGGGCAACTGAAATCTACAAGACTTATGCCCTACCCCAATACCCATCTACCTGTGACCCCAGTAACTTCCTGAGACACAGAATCTGCCAGCTCTCATTGGGCCAAGGGGTGAGTGACTCTTGTCCGACCCAGAGAGCCCTGCCTCTAGGACCCAGGCCCTGGGACACAGCCAGTACCCTGGAACCTCTACCCAATTCTGCCCCAATTGCTGACGAGCAGGGAAAAACTCCTGCAGGTAGGCTCCCCCACCAAAACCCCCCATCAGACCCTGCAATCTACCCCAATACCCATCTGCCTGCAACCCCAGTAACTTCCTGAGACACGGAATCCACCAGCCCTCATTGGACCAAGAGTAACTTCCTGAGACACGGAATTCAACAGCTCTCTGTAGCCTTTGAGTCCTCACCCAGAATGAATCTCACTGAACTGCTGCTAAAAGCCTAAAAGCTTAACAAGCTCTAGTTCCTGGTTTTCACGCCTTATATACCTTTCTGCTTTCTGCCATCACTTCCTGGGATTAAAAGCACGAGTCACCATGCCTAGCTGTTTCTAGTATGTCTTTGAACTCACAGAGATCCAGATGGATCTCTGCCTCCCAAGTGATAGGATTAAAGGCATGTGTGCCACCATTTTCTGGACTCTATGTCCATCTAGTGGCTGTTCTGTCCTCTGACTCCAGATAAGTTTATTAGGATGCACAATATATTGGGGGACATAATATATCACCAAGGTTCTCATTGGACCAAGAGTGGCTTCCTGAGACACAGAATCTGTCAGCTCTGACTGTACCAAGAACCTTGATAAGACCAAGAGTGGCTCTCTGAGCCACACAATCAGCTAGCTTGGATTGTACCAAGAACAGTTCCATGAGATACAGAATCTGTCAGCTCCAATTAGACCAAGAGCTAAGATTGGACCCAGAGGGGCCCCCTGAGACACAAACACAGCAAATACAGATTAGACCAATAGCAACTTGCTCAGACACACCTATTGCACCTATTAGAGAAAGAGATGGGTAGACATCAGTGCAAAAATACATACAACAACATAAAGAGCAATATGGCATCACCAGAACGTAGCCCTTCTACAACAGCAAGACCTGAACATCACAATATAGAAGAAGCAGAAGAAAGTGACCTTAAAAATAACTTCATGAAGATGTTAGAGGCATTTAAAAAGGAAATGAAAAATTCTATTAAAGAAATTGAAGAAAAGACAAACAAAAATTAGAAGAAATCAATACAGAAATTGAGGAAAAGACAAACAAAAAATCTGAAGAAATCAATAAATCCCTTAAAGAAAGCCAAAAAAAAAACATAAAAAAGTAATTAAACATGTGAAGGAAATAGTTCAAGATCTGAAAAGTAAGATAGAAACAATGACAAAAACACAAGCAGAGGGAATGCTGGAAATAGAAAATCTGAGTAAATGAACAGGAAACACAGATGCAAACATAACCAACAGAATACAAGAGATGGAAGAGAGAATCTCTGATGTAGAGTATACAATAAAGGAAATAGATTCATCAGTCAAAGAAAACACCAAAGCCAAAAAGGAAAACTAATAAAAATCAAATTTCTAAATTTATCCCTGACAAAGAATTGGGTCCCCACCCATTTTTTGTAACATATTCACATTTACCTATTACTAAAAAATCAGTCTATACATACCATTTAATAATCAAATATACAGTGCTTTTTTCCTTTGGGGGGTATACTTAACTTTTGCTTAGATTACAAACTAGGAAAACACATACTAATATCTGTTAATCTTCTTCATATTATCATTCTTATTTATTCCACTGCTTAGGTATGAAATATTTGTAGGTAGACAACTGATTTGAGAAATTTAGTTTTACCTCAATGAAGGGAAATCCTTGCTACTAATGGCATTTCAGAAATTTTGGGTGGTCTGAAGTAACGAGCTGTAATTTTTCCCATGACAGCTTTCATATCTCTATTTCTTAGTGTGTAAATAATGGGGTTTAGGATGGGAGTGAAAACTGTATAAAATATAGCAAGAATCTTATCCACTGGATAAGTAGTAAAGGGCCACACATAGATGAAGATGCAAGGTCCAAAGAATAATACTACTACCATAATGTGAGCAGCCAGTGTAGAAAATGCCTTGGCCATGGCAGCAGAAGACTTGAACCAAACTGTGACAAGAATTATGGCATAGGAGCTCACCAAAAGAGAGAAAGTGCTTAAGGAAAGAATTCCACTGTTTACCACAATTAGTATTTCAGTGATGTATGAGTCAATGCAGGCTAGCTTGACCACTCGAGGAAGGTCACAAAAAAAGCTGTCTACTTCATTGGGTCCACAAAATGCCAGGTTTACAGTAAATGACAATTGACTCAATGTATGCACCAATCCCACAGCCCAGGAGATTATTACTAAGGCAGTACAGGTACTTCTGTTCATGATGACCATGTAATGTAGAGGCTTACATATGGCCACATATCTGTCATAAGCCATGGAGACCAGCAGTACCATCTCCCCTCCTGTAAAGAGATGAATGAAAAAAATCTGGGCTATGCAGCCATTGAAGGATATTGTCTTGTGCTCACTCAGAAAGTCTGCAATCATTTTAGGTGTGGCAAAAGAAGCCTGACAAATGTCAATAAAGGAAAGGTTCCCCAGGAGAAAATACATGGGGGAGTGCAGCCTGCTCTCAGAAGTCACGGCTATGATGATGAGAAGGTTTCCTAATACAATGACAATATACAACACAGAGAAGAAGACAAAGAAGAAAAACTGAAGTTCCCGAGAACTGGAGAGTCCAAGCAACACAAACTCAGACACCACTGAATAATTGATCTTCTCCATGGATTCAGGCTACAGACTTGCACTGAAATAACCTTAAAGGAGAGGAAATGAAAAGAGATAACATTTTAATGCAAAGGACTCTGAGACATCTAGCGTAAATCTTATTTACTGAATGCCAAATCTAAACACCAGTCATTTAAACAACCATGCCAACAAATCTATACAGGTAGAAGGAGCTTCTAGGAATGTATAAATGATGCCTAATGGTTTGATCAAGAAAAGGGAGGTGGGCACAAAGTTCTTCACCTAGTAGAAGCATTATTAGCAATTAATAGCTCCAAGGAGAGGATGAAGTCAGTTTTCTTTGACAATGATGCCTCCAATAAGTGGACCATGCTCCAGTAGAAAGACACATACTGAAAAATATATGGATGCATAGGGGATTTAATGGGTTTGAACAAAAAGAACACAAAGTAGGGGTGGGCAGGGAATGGGGTTGGATCTGGAAGGACTTGGGGGAGGGAATAAATATGATCAAAATACATTGCACAAAATTCTTAATGAACTAGTCAAAAGTTTCATCGACATTGGTAGAAATGTTTGCATTTCTGAACAGGTTTATCAGTTTCAAATGTTGACCTGTGATAACAGAAATGGAGAACTACAGGGCTGGAAGACTAGAAGACTGGAGGACTTATTCACAAATCAATTCTTCTAAGAAAAATTGTAGAATGGGCAAAAATTGAAACACAGATCTATGGTCACTTTCCACTACTAATTTTCAGTATGACATTTGATTTAACCATCTAAGGGATATACAGAACTTGGTAGTTATTTTGTAATGTAAAGTAACACTAGTTAGTTTAGGCTAATATTTTTTCTCTTTTTTAACTCTTCATGTTAAAAAATAAGTGTGTACCTACTTTACAGAAGATAGTATAGTTTAAGTATGATAATGCATGGCATTCACCATATGAGTAATTTTATTATAAAGTTCCTCTTAATACATGAAGAATTCTATAATAAAACATACAAAAATATCAAACTGTTGCTCAAAGTTGTATACACTTTAGATGATTCCTACTAGAAGACACTATTTGATACATGTCATCTTGACCTACAGTTCTAACATATTTGTCAATTACTAACCTCAAACAGTTCATAAATGAAATTATTATTATCCAAAATGTATCTTTACTTATTGTTCATGAATAGTACCTACATTTTCCTTTTATTTTCCTATAAAAATTAGGTGCTACTTATATTCTTTTTTTTGAGTGGTTATTGGTTTCTGTGAGTGCTAGCTTTGGTGTGTTGCAGGGGAGGGGGTGGTTGGGGTTTTCACTGCCCTGTAACTCACTAAGTAGCCTGTACTGGCTGACCACTGAGCCTCAGAGATTCACCTCTTTCTGCCTCCCTATCACTGGTATTAGAAGTGTGAAACACCATACCTGGCTTTAAAAAAAAATGAGTTCTTAGGATCAAACCCAGGTCTTTGTGCTTGCCCCTCCATGAATTTCTCAAGGATAGCTGAGTTATTTCAGAATTGTTTTTCAAAGAGAATAAATCGTGATTAGATTGTAAACTTCCTGTGTTCTTAAAAAATGCTTTGATTAGAATCAGAATAATCTTTCAACCCACTCAGAGTCTTCTTTCTTATCTCCCAGTCCTGGCACTACAAACATTTGGGATTGAGTGGTTCTCTGTTACAGAGGATGGCACTGTGACATAGCAGCATTCAGAAGCCTCTTGGACATTATGCAGATGTCAGACACACTTATTCTTCAGTTGTTGTAACTAAAATGTCTCCACACATTGTCAAATGTCCATTCAGACAAGAAAATTATCTAAGACAAGAACCAAAAAGTTAAACCATCTTTAACTTAGGTTGTTAGTTTCTCTTTATATCTACCAACAAAATGTTTAGTCTGAGTGATAAGAGATATAAGTAAAAATAATTAAGATAATAAAATTTCAAAATAATCCTTTTTCAATGTTTCAAATATCTTTCATTGTTTTTATTTTTAGTTTCTCCTCTTTTTAAAAGAAATGTCTTAGATGCATACATGTTTCCTATCCAATCATTTTTCAAGCTCCTTGGATCTTTGACACGCAGCTGTGCCATACTCAGAGAACATACTTCATCAACTTCCCTAAAAGAGCTGTGATTACAGCTCATTTGTGAGAAGTTTCAGTGAAAGAACTTCTAAATTCCTTTCAGAATGTTTCCCACTAGCTTCCTTTACTCATGGAACTGCCCTACAAATAGATGTCACTGAGTTTCTGGCCTCTTGGCTCTCCTTCATTAGCTCTTCTCTGTACATTTCTTGCATTTTCATTTTTACCTGGCTTATAACATTATTTTTTTCTTTTCTTTTTTCTCCTCCTCATCTCTTCCTTTGGTATTTCTTTGGCATTTATTTCTATGACATCAATTATCATTGTGTGCAATTATCATTGCAATATACCCTGGTATTTCAAACATGTTCCTGAACTTTTTGTAGATGTAAATATTAAATAGCTACCTGAGATTCGAGTTCACAATTTCTCTTGTCAATTCATTCTCCTCCCTTGAAATTAATAATCACTTCAATGCAATAATAAACTTTCTCTTTCTAATAATATCCTATCATGTCTTAAATTTAAAAAAGAAAACCAAAAAATTCTTCCTTAGAATGACAGTCATGAACATATAACCTGCTTTTGCTGATACCATACTCAACACATAGCCTTGACCAGACTAATCAGTATTAATTAAGCTTCAAAAAAGTTTTACTCATCTTCTCATGTCTTTTGCAGATGTCACATCTTCTAAAAGCCTTTCAAAAAGCAGTTTCAATTCTTTTTCTTGATGTCACTACAGGATGTTTCTTGATACATACTTTATATTGATGCAAGGTGAAAGAATTTATTGCCTATATCATTTTCCATAAAATTAAGAGTTCCTTCAATTCTTATATTTTTGTATGCTGCCTTTAGGATTAGATATAAAAATATACTTGAATTAAAATTTTCATATATTAATTTTAGTATTTGATTACATATATTCACTTTTTTTCTATCTTCTATCACCAACTTTTCTATCTTCTCATTTTCTTTTGCACAAAATATTATATAGTATATGTTCTGAAAATTCAATCAAACAATTCATGACCTGCATAAATTTTACCCTTACATGAGTCAGAATTAGTTTATTATTTGAGAATAAGTCACAGTTAAATCATTGAAACATGACAATAACCAACTAGAAAATGCAATTGAAAATAAAATAATGAGAATGAATTACAAAACAGAGGAAATTGTTTGTTGTAATGGAAGCAAACTGTATTTAGGTAGCCGTGTTTTTAAAAGTTAATAAAATAATTATAAATACAATCTTAAAAAAAAATTACACTCCACTTCCACACAGCCAAACAAATCATTTTGTCCACTTAATGCTCAAAAAATGCTCAGTGTCTAACAAATTATTGATACAAAAGTACTCTAACTAGAAACATATAACCAAACTTGATATTTAACATTCAAACATTCTAATGGTTCCTTATAGTCTCTCTCTCTATCTATCTATCTATCTATCTATCTATCTATCTATCTATCTATCTATCTATCTATCTCTATCTCTATCTCCTCTCATTTTTGACTCAAATGCTTGCTTACTTTGTTTAATTAGGTCACAGAAAAAAATTTCATGATGGATTTTTCAAAAGTCAGTCATACTTTTTCCTACTTTCCCCAACAATATTTTATAGCTTTACCTAAGTTCTAACATATTATCCAAAAAATGCTAAAATACAGACATGAATATCTTTATTTGCTTCCTGCTTCTGATTATATTTTCCTCCTTTTGAAATCCTCTCTGAGGTACAATGTAATAACTGAATATACTGTGTAATTGGACATACTCAAAGCATATTTTTGTTAAGAATATCTTACCTGTACAACATACATCAGAGAGGCAAAGTGAATTCTTCATTTTTTTAAATGTCCATTTAATTTCTTTCATTTAATGATATTTATATGTGCCTATTTCTTTTGTCAAAGTGGAAAAGCACACAAATTTAGTTAAGTGACCACTTGAGGCTTCTGAGAATATATAGCCAAGGTTTACCTTCCAATGGGGATTATTACTACTTTCCACAATATTTTTTGCTGTGACAAAGTAAATACATCTTTCAAGATAGGCAATTAAATGAGCATTGGAACATAAGACAAAAAGTGATGTTCTTTTAGCTATGAGGGTAAATGTGCAGAGTAAAATGACTTCTGTGAATTCTATTCAGTTGAACTTACTACCCCAGATGAACTATGTAGAAAAGTTCATTTTTATGTCCTAAATAAAAAGAATATTTACTTGAAGTTATAAAGATATACTATGCTGTTGATACTTCACCATTTGGAGATAGAAAAGAAAGTCCAATTTGTTAGAACCTAGAGAACAGGTCTTTTATTTTCAGTTCAATCAAATTTTGTATAAAATCGGTTTCTCTCAAATTGTGTATAAAATTATTTTTCTTGTTTCAAGTGCTGGAAAATAAGAGAAATATGAAATTAAAATACATATGTGATATTCTTCACAGTATTTTATAATTGTCTTAATTTATTTTATTACATCTAAGATATGATTAGAAGAAATATATTGTATAACATTCCCATAAAATATTATATCGTTTTTAATGTCATTTTTAATTTTTAGTCTTTTTACCCAAAATAGTTTTTTCATGCAATATATTCTGATTATGGTTTACCCTCCCCCAATTCCTTCTAGATCCTCCCCACTGCCCTGCCACCCAAATCCACACCCTTTCTTTCTCTTCTTCATTATAATGTAAATAGGCATCTAAATAATAATAATAACAATAAAGTTTAAAAACAGAATGGGACAAAACAGAAAAAAAAAAGAGCCAAAGCAAAATCACAAGAAATACATACAGACACTGAGACACACACCTTGACACACACCTTTACACACATAGAAAACCCATAAAAACAAAATCAGAAATCATTATGTATAAACAAGAGAGTTGTAAGGTAAAAAAAAAAAAAAGAAATACATAAAGCATGGTGTAACAAAAAATCCTCCAAAAACA